CACTCGTATGAAAGCTGAAGATCTCACCTTTCTAACGCGCCTACATACTTCATTGTAGTTATATCGAGTCACCTGTTATAAGCTGAAGAACATTTTTTTCTCATTTTTTATTCAGTTTTTACAGTTTTTCGTGATTTTCTCGACAAATCCTTAAGATAGTTACATCATCGACCACTGTACGAGCTACGAGCTGTAGAAATGGGTAAAAACGTGAATTGGGTTTCACGTTTTTTGGGTTTTCAAGTGCAAAAAATACACAATTACATAATTATAAAAAGTGTTTAGATATAATTTTGTTTATTAACTACAACATTCTTACATATACGTTCAGATATAAATGTAATAATCAGTTAATAATAATTCCACTAAAATAACACGAATTTACAAGTACATTCGATAATAGAGTAAATGGTGGTTTAGAAAAATAGTTAATTTTTCTTTTGAGACTAATTTAAATCATTTAAAAATATACTATAAGTCTTAAATAATAGTCAAATTAAGTTCTAGTTGTATTATATTGTATATGCAAGATTTGCATCATCAGTGAGAACGATTTGTTATAATTAAACTATATAAACTCTAAATATGCACAGTGCAACTAAAGTTAAATACATCTTTAAATATCACCTTACATATCACACATTATTTATATTTAAATGCAAATATAATTATATACTTTTGCACTTAATCGCATACCAGTTCTCACCTAGTTTTCAATGAATAAAATTATTTGCATAAAATATTACTTATACTTCTTATATGTCATTTCTTACCAATTACAATATATAAAATAAACAAGTTGTTCATTGTTGAGCATTTGTATACTAAAATAATTAATACGTAAATTAAAAAAAAACAATTTGCTTCTTAAAAAAAAGTGTAAATATAGATTCCTTAAATATATTTCTAGTTTCGATGATTATATCTCCATATGAATAAATGTGTATACATTATAATACTACAGTTGCGTTACGCAAATAGTACTGAGTCACCTGTCCGATAGTGCTTGGACGTGCGTTGTTTAACTTTCGCGATCTGTCAAATATCAAGTACCCATAGAATGCCCGACGTTCGTGTGTTCGTAAAAACTTACGAAAACAACATTGTTTACCTTTAATACTAATAAGAAAGGAACTCGTCACACAATATTAATAGGTACTTAATACATAAAGCAAAAAAGAATTAATGAAAATTAGTTAATAATAGTTTCTACAATTATTGTGCCTGTTTCATTCAGACAAAACACTTACTATGTTTGATTGTCATGGAGCTGATGATATAAAAAAAAAAGGATAAATAAGTAATCGCATCACTTGGAGGTGTTTAAATTTGACTTACCGTCGCTCCAATTCTGGACAGATATCTGTTGCGTATATGAAAATCAGAGTTCGTCTGTAAAAAATCATTGGATTCCTCCATCGAATTGGAAACCCCCGCCGCCAACAGTTTCTCACTCTCTAATATACTGGCAGCCCTATTAAAAAAACAAATATGTTAGTTATTACCGAATTATACATTTACAGTGGAACCTCGCTTAACGAGTTTAATCCAAAATTTTCGGATTTGCGAGGTGTTCGTTAAGCGAGGATCCACTGTACTTATAAAAACTTACAATAATTCTTGCTGATGTTGTTCCCGTTTCGATGGCGACATATTTAACAAACCTCCTCTGGAAGAATCCACCAACCAGACGGCAATAATTGCTAACAGTGAGACTAAAAACGAATGCATTTAGTAAGTAATTTTTGAATACGTTATTTAACATTTACCTGTTAAACAAGAACAGAAGAATATTTCCATCCACCAATAACCGTAAGTGTCGACAATGTATCCAATTAATATCGATATAACTGCTAAACCCAAATTTTGTACCGCTTGACATCTACAGTCATCATTGTATTAAGCATTAAATCCATAAATAAACATGTACAATAGTCGGTTAAGTAAGTTAAGTTACTTTCAATTCAATTACTTACATTCCATAGGCAGTGCCTAATTGATGCTCCGGAATTATCAAGGCTACCAATGGCCACAGCCCACTAGCTAGCAACGAATACGATAATCCCATAAATGACTGAAAGAAACAATTTTTTAAATTACTTTTTTTTTCAATTATTCGATTCTTGTTCAATTACTGACCATTCCGATATAAGGATTCAATGTGGAAAAAGTAAGTAGTGAATGTGAAGCAATAGTGGCCAGGATGGAAATGAAAACGTAAAGGACATTCCTCCCGGTTTTGTCTACTAAGAAACCTAAAATCGGGGACGCAAAAGCTGATATTAAGTAGATGATGCTGTTCACTGTATTCGCATCTACCTCAGGCCATTTTTCTTTGAAAAATCCCCTGAAAAAAGAACATAACTTAATTATTCATATAATCAATGATTTTTTTTCTTAAAATCATACTGTCCATTAGCAATGAATGGGAAAATTGCTACATAATATGCGACGCAAACCACACTCAATAACCAAAACGTGATTGGAAATTCTGTGACAACGCTAAGTTTAACTACTTCGCCTGTAGAATGTTCATTTCTCCTTAAAATTCTGTCAGCTCTCTTATCCAAACATCCCAAAATCATTGAGCAAACCATCGAAATCAAGCATGTTCCTGTAGCTGAAACGCATTTAATTTAAACATTATTAGTAATAGGTAATACGATCAAACTTACAAATGAACAAAACAATTCCGAGACATTGAAATCCAAGATAATAATCGTCAACGAAGTCGTAAATTGGTTTAACAACCCAGAAATTGACTGTGCTGCCAATCCTGGCAAGGCTCAGTTGAAGTCCAAAAACCATGTTCAGTTCCTTTCCTTTAAACCAAAGGACAGCATAGCTATTTTGAGCAACAGCCAATGATTCACCTCCAATACTAAAAACAAAGCTTTGTAAAGAAATATGTCTTTATTTGATGTAGGAAAATTACCCAAATAGAAATCGTCCTGCAGCCATTATCCAAAATGTATTAAAGAATGCACCAGCAGCAAACAGAAGTTGCCCCATCAATGTAATGAGCATGAAAATGTTTGTACCTAATCTTATTCCAAAAACCCTAAAAATACAACAACCTTGAATGATTCAATCATTTATACATGTATGTATTCCTGTACCTGTCTATAAGGTATCCACCTACAAAGCATAACACAACATTTGGCCATGAGTACAAAGAATATAGTAAATTAAATTTTGTATCAGATAAGCCTAAATCTTTCTCAAATTCAGACTTCAATGCTGCTGGGTTATCATAACAGAAATATGAACCTAAAAATTACAGAGATAATATTACTGAAGTCTTCCTGGTAAACATAATGTAAAAGTTCAAAGTGCAACACAACAAACACAACTGTGTGTGTGTGCATTATGCAAACAGTCATTTGCAATTATTACTTACCAAATCCTAAGAAGCACATGAAAAAGAGTGCAATGAATCTGTGGCAAGTTCCTCTAGGGTCATAACAAGAATAATAACAACCACGATTTTGGGACTCTTCATCTTGATCCTGATTCTCTACAGTAGAATTAGCCTCTTGGATATTACCACCACCTTCCATCCTTCTTATTTCAATTAATACACTTCAATATAATTTGGATTAAAGACAACTTTTCCTTCTTCTCCTTCACAAAACTTCCAATTAAGTTGTGCACCTCACAGTCAGTGATCAACAGTCAAACTTATGCTGATTTCTTTGTTCTTCTGGCACCCTATGACATCAAGTCAGCTGTGTAACAAAACAAAACACGACGCCCCCTAACTGAGCATGAATGTAAACAAAATTTGTATCTACAAATCTTATCAATTCACAAACATACGCGGAGCGATTTGATATGTTTCATCATGCAAGGAACTTATTCCTTTGTGATTGTTATGCTTATAATTTTACGTCACAAATTAGCTGCGCTTCCACCACTTATTACACACTCAACGAGTCATTATCTACAGTAACAAAACATACATTTTATGCTTTGTAATTATTTGCCTTGTTAAGAATACAAATTTAAATAAACGAAATATAGATAATGTATAGCAATTAATTAGCAAATTAGCAAATAATTTTCAACTGCTTGTGAATTTAGTTGCCTAAAAGCGAAATACATTTAGAATTGTTATGAAAAGGTTAGCATATGTGTTGTGTTGTATTTTATTCTAAATATATTAAGTTGAGGGCACAATGAATAACGAAGACTTGCAGTTCAAGTCTGGAAATCCAGGTGCTGTAAAACATGGCAATTTCATTAACTATTATCAATTCCATCCTCCAGAGAACAGAATAAATTTGTTACCAGACGATATTTGGAATATAGGGAATGTCGTAGATAATAGTTTTGTAGCGTTGGATATTGGATGCAATGCTGGTGTAAATTAGATCTAAATTAATATTGGAATTAAGTTAAATAATTTTATTTTTTTTTTAGGATTTAACAGCATCCCTTAAACAGTTTCTTGACAAAGCAACAAAACGTAACTGCGTTATATTGGGTGTAGATATAGACAACACTTTAATTGATAGAGCAAATGAGAAAAATAACACAAATGAATTGACTTTCAAATGCTTAGATGTTACAAGAATCAAAGAAAGAGATGAACTGTTTAAAAGTTACTTAAGTAAATATAATAGATCCAAATTTGATGGAGTGTTTTGTTTCTCCACTACTATGTGGATACATTTGAATCACGGAGATCTTGGTTTAACAACATTCCTTAATGACATCTCACAGTTAGGTGAATATTTACTGATTGAACCTCAGCCTTGGAAATGTTACAGATCTGCACTAAAAAGATTGAAGTCTTACAAAACTATATTCAAAGAGTATGAGAACTTGAAGATGAGAACTGATGTTGAGGAGAAAATTGAAGATATATTAATGCGTACAGGAAGGAGAAAGGTTTGGGAATCTGAAAGAACAAAATGGGATAGAAAGCTGTTATGTTTTAATTAATTCTTTTTTCCAATAACATCTGAAAATACACAAAATAATAAAAATGTTTAACCTATATATCATTTCCACACACATACAAAAAAAATAATAATCTATGAGGTTACTTCCTCACTAGCTGAATCAAATTCCAATTTGACTTCCTCATGTAAACCTTCGACATCAACCTCAGATTCTCCAGCGTTCAGCATGTTTAAGGTAACTTCGCTCTTGATAATTTGAGGTTGGGAGACTTGCACTGTTGTGTTCATCTGCCTCACAGGAAAGCCGGCATCTTCAAATGCCTTCTTTTTCAAAGCTGTTCTTATCTGTGACCTGAAATTGGTTTCCATTTAGTTGAGCATTTCATTTGCATGAAGAAATTGCGATTATGCACTTACACTGTTCGTAACTTAATATGTTCACTGATCTCATTCAGACCATCTGAGAAATTCTTAACACATGCTCGCAACATCTCAATTTCTTCATCTGTCCACTTTCTAGAGTAACGTAACTATTAAATTAAGATTGAGTTATAGTATGTTTTCTCACCCTGCTGGTGACTCTGCATTCGGATGCAGTTGCATTGTTAGATCTCCAAGTTTGTTGAAAGCAGCTCCTGCGGCTGTGAATATTTCACCAACCTAATTACAAAAGTCTATAGTATAATGCTTACAGTGTAAATAATAAATGTTACCTTGCTCGCGCTACTCATCTTTAACAATTTTAAATTACTTTATTTTGATAATCAAACCAATCAGATGGTGCTAACAAAAAACAACAATGAAGCTAGTAATCAATTGGAATTAACTCGACCCAAACTGAAAGTTCTGTTACAGTTTCACCAATGCATCAAACTTCAACTAATTTATAGAACAATTACGAATATTTGAATTAAATATATAACACATATAATAAATGAAATAAAAAGTCTTAGTTCATCTTTATTTAATAATTATTTTGTATTATAATTTACTAAATATTACAAAAAAAGGTTTCTATATTAAGCCTGTAACATTTTAAATTCAATATATAGAGGTCACTACATGTCTCTAAATAGCATAAAGTTACGTTCAAAAGTATTGTTAAAGTTTAAAATGTGATTTGTTTTTGTATTAAGTTTTGGTTTTGTAATTCTTAAACGTTAAAAAATACTTCTAACTTATAAACATTATTAATAATGATATCATTAGTCTTCTTAATACTGTTTGAAAATATGTCTCGCTTAACGAGCGACGTTTCGCATAACAAGTGACGGTGAGAAGTCCCGGATTGCGCGCCTTCTACATCATTTTCAAACACATATCATGTGTATTATTGAATATGTTTCACTATACGAGTAAAAATCCGGAAATTTTGGATTAAACTCGTTAAGCGAGGTTCCACTGTATAATTAATGCTTGCGTAATGTAATAAGGATTTAGTAATAATATAGGAAATTGAATGTATTTTTACATTTATTTAAATAGCTATGCGTAAAATGCAAACACAATTGTTAGTAACTTGTAACTGCCGTAATTAAACATAATTTTCTGCAATTAAAATTTGAATATTTGCTATAGGGAGTAGAAGCAAGTAACGGAGAAACGATTAATTACGTACAATATTTAACAGAACTAAACGATTACAATACACATGATATATAATTATAATGTGTTTGTTTTTATTTTCGTTTCGTACGATTCGCGAGATCTGTCCCCGACCTAATTTTGCATCGGACCTTGTAATTGATGCACAAACACACAGATATTCAGACATATAAAGCGATACACCTAACCCAGTTATACTTGACCTAAGTTAATACCGAATTGCACATTACGGTTGTCGTCCATTTGAACTTCCATAAGCAGTCACAACCTTTTCGTGCATTTTTTTTGAAATATTTACAATTTTTAATAACACACCTATGTGAAGACCATGATCTATTTCATTGCACTTATTTTCTTTCTCAGCTCGTTTTTCTCTCGATTTATTTTCCTTCGACAATTTCAATTGGCTATTTCGCAACTATCACTTGCAATGAGATCATTTGATACGCATATGCTTTGCATACATTAAAATAACTGATTCCAAATGGAACAATAATGCATCGACAATACACAATGAATATGCAGAAAATGTCCTTACAACTTACACTTCGCACTTTACCATTTTTAATTGCACTAGCTCTAATTAATTAATTCTATTAATAGTTACAAATTACTAGTAAACTAATCTTTCTTCGAATATGCAATAGTACATTAATTTGAGCAACAAGTGAACAATATATTATTCAATTTGAAAATACTTTGGCGCGTTTCATTCAAGATGCGCAACATTTTCATTCCATCTTCTAGTGGCGGGAAATTGGTGCGACCTTCATGTTTACAGTATTAAATTAAAAATAAAACAGAGATGCAGGCGTTTTTGAAATCCGGAAAAATTGCCGGGAACGGAGATAAAAAAGCTGGTACTTCATCTGGAAAACCGCCGAAGACAAAACGGGCAGTCCCGTGGGTCGAGAAATAGTGAGTTGTTTCAACTTAACCTAAAAAGCTTATTGTTGAAATTTAAACTTTTAGCCGACCCAAAACCGTCGACGAAGTCGTCGAGCAAAATGAAGCGGTGTCAGTGCTGCAGCAGTGCATATCTGGTGCGAATTTTCCCAATTTACTATTCTATGGCCCTCCTGGAACTGGTAAGACCAGTACCATTCTGGCAGCAGCTCGTCAGCTGTTTGGAGACATATACAGAGATAGGATCCTGGAATTGAATGCCTCCGATGAGAGGGGCATCCAGATCATCCGTGACAAGGTGAAAACTTTTGCACAGTTGACAGCGAGTGGCACAAGACCTGAGTATGCATCATGTTGTTGTTTCTTCACTCATTTGTGTCTGATTCTATTGTTTTTTTATTTATTCCAGTGGTAAACCTTGTCCTCCATATAAAATTATTATACTTGATGAGGCAGACTCCATGACTCATTCAGCTCAGGCTGCTCTTCGGCGTACAATGGAGAAAGAGAGTAAAACCACCAGATTCTGTTTGATTTGCAACTACGTTTCGCGCATAATAGATCCATTAACATCGAGATGCACTAAATTTCGTTTCAAACCGTTAAAATTGGAGAGGATCTCTGAACGGTACTATCAATCGTCTAATATATTTTAATATGCTAAAACTGTAATTACAGGCTGGAGTTTATTTGCAAAGAAGAGAATGTCAAGTTTGATGAAGAAAGTTTGAAAGCGCTAGTCGATACGAGCGGGGGCGATATGAGAAGAGCTATAACTTGTCTGCAAAGTTGCGCTAAGCTGAGAGGCTCAGATGATCTAATTAAAATCGAGGATGTTTACGAAGTTACCGGAGTAATAAACTATCCAACATATCTATTATTTGTTACTAATATTACAAATCTTAGGTTGTCCCAAGTAAATGGCTTGATCAATTCGTCGCTGTGTGCAAGAAGGGCGATTACGATGGACTTAGTAACTTCTTGAACACTATGATGTACGAGGCGTACTCGGGCCTACAGATGTTGGAACAACTAAATGAAATTGTAGTGCATTCAGACTTATTTAACGATAAACAAAAAGGCTTTATCGGAGCTAAATTAGGGGTAATTATTTCAAAATGTGAATCTTAACTTATTGTACTTGCTATTATTATTTCAGCTCGTTGGCTACAGATTACAAGACGGTGGTTCCGAGTATCTCCAGTTGCTGGACATTGGATGCACTTTAATGTCCGCATTTAAATTGATTTAAGTCAATTTTATTGTTACTTTTTTATTTAATTATTAAAATATTTTTGTATTGCTTTTCCTTCTATATCCATAACTTAATATAACACCTACGACGTCCTCTTTTTAGAACATAATTGCATGTATTTTAAAGTAAATCAACTACATGTAGGCAGACAGAAATAAGTAGGACGATCATGTGTTTTAAACGGTGAAATAATTGTTTTTGGACTTAACATATTTACGCCAGAAGAAGTTGAATAGAATAATTGGTTTACACACAAAAATAACTTGTTAATTGTTTTGTTTCTCAATCATAAAGTAACGAAAACAAATTAGTAGTAATATTGAATATTCATAATACAGACTTTGAATAATTATGAAAAAAGTTGACATTTATTTGCAAGAGTGCTTAATTTTCATATGCTGTCAAATATCAAGAACCTTAGGTGTTTCTCAAATGTTTTATTATACAGAGAGCCCTCAAATTACGTCTATTCACAATAACACCGCTCCGCAATCCGCTAGACTGAATAGGAACGCATCTACTGCGTAAACCGAGGTCTAGCTGTATATTTAAATGATCAAAAAACGAAATTATAAATTTCTTGAAGCGAAACGCATATCAATAATGAATCATCACTTGTGGAAGCGTGCATATAATAAACAGTATTGATGTCCGGTATTTGTTTGCACCATAAATTTCCACAGAATGACAAAAAAAAGGTAATGTAATTGGAAACCGTCCGTTCGGTCCTTGTCCTTTCGTTTGTTGTGATCTCGACCATTCGAACAGTAAACATGTTATTTTTTTAATTCAATCAAAAACGATAATGAGCTTTAATTAATTGTTTCATGAAATAAATAACGATGATTGAAAATACGTTGCGATACATTTTCTCCTCTTTCTGATTCACGAAAAAAACCCACATCTTAATTTTATTTTTCAACTCGATTAAGATGTACATGTTTTTATGTATAAACAAGTGCAGTTTATTTGTCAAATGAGGTAAATCGTAGGCAACGTATCCCTGTTAAAAGAGCAACGCACTCGGATTTGTGAACTTATACACCCACAATTCAAATTTAACATTTGGTTAAATGCTAAATACCACAGTTAAACAAATTTATTACAGTTTTTTTTACATTAATTCTTATTTATGATAATTCAAAACGATTATCTCTAATTGTTATTAATAAATAATCTGCTGTGAAGTCTAAACAATAAGAATATTTACATCTATTACGTAATTATAATAGGATAATTGTGATATCTTTACTTTGTGGACAGGTTTAAATTGCGTCATCAAATTTTGAAAACAAGTCCGGCAAAGTGCTTGAGACAAAGTAAACAGAAATTATAGAATGGACTATGAAAAATTACGTAAAGAGTAAATAGGATGCTCGTATCATAATTAACAATTATTAATATTTATACAACATTGAACAATCTGCTTGTTTTCGAAATGGAAAACATAACTGATAAAATGGATGCATTTCATAAACTCTTTCGAAACGAGCGTGTGTGGAAAATAGTTTTCGAGAATATCCGTAATAAATAAATGTGTTTGTTTGTCGAAAATAATGCTGCAATAATATTTATTCTGCAATAATTACATGTTTGTTTTTAATATATTTATATATTATTTACGAGCGTGTCTTGAGATGAAGATACTGGAAGTGACTCATTGTTTTGACTCGAATTTAAAGATAACTTTAACGCTATCAGAAGTGAAGAGTTGGAAATTCGTATCTCGAGCGTAAAAGCGACGTGTTTATGTATGCGCAAGTGAAAATAAAGAAAGAGCGAAAGAGAAACACGAACGGAACGAAATTTATATCGCGTTCCATTATCCAATGAGTTCACTGAACGAAAAATTTCGTCACCGAATATATATATATATATCCATACGGTACTCTTTTGCAAAACTCTACGTTCGTTCTTTTCTTTCTTTCTTTCTTGTCGCCCCGAAAACATAATCTCTTTCTTTCTTTCGTTTTGCGAAACCAATATGTGCTGTGTCCGACGTAATTGGCCAACAGGCCCATTGTTTCATCAATTTCTAATTGTGGAATACATCAAAAATACATTTCTACAATGCCTATTATAATAAGAGAAGGCGCCGACTACACGCGTTTTTTGAGCATTACTTATAATTAAGCTTTCTCCGCAGTTCGTTCACCGAACTTCTTGAACTGCATTTCTAGTTTAACCTATTATATTATAAGATACTTAGTCGGTGCGAATCGTGTGATTGATCGTGTGTTCGCTCCAAATGAGTGTTTTAGGGGCGGCTACATGACCTTTTTTTTTCGACAACAACAGCGAACGAAAAAATACAGATGATCTATTATAATTAGGGCAGGAAGCGGATGTCGGTGATTTCGAACCATCACTAAAAATCCATTTACGATAATCAATGGAGGGACGTGCACATCATTTTGCCCAAAATTTCACTGATTTTGATGAAAATTATGAATGACTGGATAATTATAGTTGATGCATTTGTACTAAAAGGAAACACCGAAAACCTCACAATTCATCATATCATCATATAACATGATTTGTGGTTCAATAAATCTATACACATTACATCGATTATAGTAATTATTAGTTTTGATTCAATAATTTTATCATAAAATCCTATAGTTACAATACCCATATTTCTTAAGACATTTAACTTACAATTAACTATCGAACAAAATCCTATGAAGATTTTCAAATTATTTAATTAAATTGCCTTGAATATAACCAAAATGCAATACGACTTTCGAATTAATTGTATAAATGAATTGTTTATTAAACTAATGCTTAAATGTGGTAATACAATAGAACACATTTAGACATAACTAATGAAAATTACTTAAAATTCTTGTAAATTAAGACTTAAATTAACTCATTTGATTTCTTTGAATGACTAATGGCTGTATATAATAGGAAAAGGAAACTTGCAGAATGTATTGGTCATTTCCGTTCGACCAGGAAGTAGGTACACGATGATTCAAATAAACTTGCATACAATTTATTATTCAAAACATACATTTGCATGTACTTATGCAACGTAACATTAAAAAATACAAATTTGTGTAAAATTTCATTATTTGAAATATTAATAACTTTACAGGTTTTTTTTTAACGCTTTGTTATCTGAACATAGTGAAAAACATTTTGCTTTGGATTACATTAAATTTTAGCAATATTTTCATTGAAACAAATATGTGGTATTTTTTTTGGTAAATTTTAAGCTTAAATCGTGTAATAACTGATTTAGATTACAAGAACTGATCCATTTTTATATACAGTGGTACCTCGATATACGAGTGCCCTAATATACGAGTGTTTTGAGATACGAGCCGCCGAGCGAGCGATATTTTGCTTTGAGATGAGAGCAATATTTGAGATACGAGGAATCGCACACTACACCTCAGACTGTGTGCTTGTTTCACTCGTTTTCGAAGCATTTTTGATAAGTTGTACATTTTGTACATTTACAAAACATTATCACTTTTGCTATACAATTTTTCTTTTCTTTACAACATTAAAATGACAAGTATTACTTGAATGTTGGTTTGTACTCACTCGGTGTTTCCAATTACAAAAGAAATCATTTTTGTGTACAATATAAAGATGACATTAAAGTACCAACAAGTATTTAGATCTTTTTCACGTCTCTTTATAACTTAAATAGTGACATAAATGTGCCGGTAACCAATTAATTTCATCGAACAGTTAATCTAATTAGTAATATTACTAAAGGAAACAATATCACTATATTCAATTTCTGGATAAGCTTGTTTTTTACAACTTGATTTTTATAATTCAATCTTCAAGAAATTTGGTCCAAGTTTAGAAATCTATTACCAAAAAAAAAATTAAGTCAGATCAAATGTTATACAACAGTAATCAGTTTGAAACTTAATCGAAGACTTGAAAACCGCACAAAAAGAAACTTAACTATATAGTGTAATGAACGTTTGCTATTTTCTATTTAAAAAGTTAATGTTTATCAAATATTTAGACACTTATTATTTTCACTTTATCAATCAATCAAACGCATTGTTAAAGTATGTTACATGTAAATTATGAAATTGAATAGTAATAGCCCCTATAAACAGAGTTTAATTAAATAACGAAATATTGAAATGTGACACGCACTTGAATGCGAAATAATGAAATGGAAACGAAACCTTTATCATGTGTTTATGTAGCCACGCGTTCGCTTTACATACTCGAAAGCACTTAATTGTTAATTATTTATGTAATCTCTTACGCGATATGCGCTTTTTATTAATAATTTTTTTTTAAATAGGGATTTATGGATGGTAATGTAATGTGTTTTTTTTTAAATTGTAATTACATTAGAAGGCGGCGGTCTGCGTACTTGTCGAAAGCAAGAGAGAGTCCATTGGGGGAACATTAAAGTACTTCAATGGGAAACGCACATACGCATTCATCCAGTCGTGATTAGAAAATACCAATTGAGTGAGTGTGAGTATCTTGGAGGAGGTTGATGACTTCTCTGCGCCATTCACTCGGTAAAGTCCAATTACATAAAGAGACTTAATCGCGACAGTCTATCGCCCTACAAAAATCAAATCAACAGCAGAATTCCGAATATGAGATGATGCAAACTGTTGCCCATTCAGTAGTGTTTCGTAGTAGTGGAGGAAGAAGGAGAAGCTGTCGCGATAAAGGAAGAAAGTCCGTCGGGTTGCGCCATCGTCTCGCATTCGTAATCAATTTAATTATGCACCAAAATACATTTTAATTGATCGATATAGAATCAACAAAAACACGTACGGTCATTGGCTTCGTGCTATTTGCATATGGCATTTCTTTTTAAATCTTCCGTTCTTTCATTTCGCCACAGCGTCAGCGTTTTAATCAGTTGGCGAAACTTTTGTTACGCGTCGTCTCTTGTGTTTGGGTTTTCTGTGCTCGTGCACCGAAAAAGCGAACCTGGACCTATCTTAAAATGTCACACGAGCAGTAATAAATCGGATATTGAGTGAAGAGAAAGAGAG